GGGGGCCGGGCACGCGCCGGGGGGCGTGTGGGCCCGGGAAGGGCGTCGAGCGCCGCGGGGCGTCGCTGGGTCCGCACGTGTCCTGGGAAGGGGGACATGGGACGTGGGAGGGTCCATGTGTGTCCTGGGAAGGGCGACATGGGACATGGGGCATAGCAGAGTCTATGTGTGTCCTGGGAAGGGGGACATGGGACGTGGGAGGGTCCATGTGTGTCCTGGGAAGGGGGTCTAGCGCCGCGGGCTGTCCGCACATGTCCTGGGAAGGGTGACACAGGACATTGGACATTACTGGGTCCATGTGTGTCCTGGGAAGGGTGTCAAGGGCTACATGTCCTGGAAAGGGTGGCATGGGACATTGGACATCACTGGGTCCATGTGTGTCTGGGGAAGGGCGACAGGGGACATGTAAGGGTCCGTGTGTGCCCTGGGAAAGGTGACATGGGACATCAGACATGTCAGGGTCCATATGTGTCCTGGGAAGGGGGACATGGCACATGAGACATGTCAGGGTCCATACGTGTCCTGGGAAGGGTGTCAAGAGCCACAGGATGTCACTTGGTCTGCACATGTCCTGGAAAGGGTGGCACGGGACATTGGACATCACTGGGTCCATGTGTGCCCTGGGAAGGGTTCCATGGGACACAGGATGTCACTGGGTCCATGTGTGTCCTGGGGAGGGTGTTATGGGACACAGGACCTGTCAGGGTCCATGTACATCCTGGACAGAGGGTAATGGGGCACAGAAGATACAAGGGTCCCTGTGTGCCCTAGGAAGGGTGACATGGGACACAGGATGTCACTGGGTCCATGTGTGCCCTGAGAAGGGTAACATGGGACCCAGGATGTCACTGGGTCCATGCATGTGCTGGGGAGGGTGACATGGGACACAGGATGTCACTGGGTCCATGCGTGTGCTGGGTAGGGTGTCACAAGGCCCAGGCCATCACGGAGCCCTTCCAGGCCTTGGGAAGGGCCCTGTGAGGGATCCCTGTGCCCACGTGTGATCCGGGAAGGGTGTCGCTGGGGACAGTGTGTCCTTGACCCCGGGTGGCTGCTGAGGGGGTCACAGTGTCTCGGGGTCCCTCCATCCCCCAGGAAGGTTGTTCTGGGGGCCAGGGCTTTGTAGGGAGCATCTTTCCCATCAGGAAAGGATTCCCAGGCTTGACCCACTTTGTTGCGGCGCTGCCACCATTTCTTTTTCTTTTTTTTTTTTTTTTTTTGTCAGGCAGAGGAATGCAGGAATGTGGATAAAATTCCTGCAGGGAAGCAGCTTGCTGAGGTTCACTCCGGGCAAGGCTGGTCGCTTGGCAGGAAGCTCGGCCTGCTCCAGGAGAGCGGGATTAGCACAGGAAGGGGCTGGAGCAGCCTCTGCCAGGGCGGAATCTGCCCTCGGAGTGCCGGGAATCCAGCAGGGAGGAGAAGGAAGCGGCCCCGGGGCTCCGGCCGGAGCGATCCCCCCCCTCCGCCCTTGTTTCCCTTGAGGAGCGATACCGGGAGAGGGGGCGGCGCAGCCAGACCTGGATTCTCCGGGCCTAATTCAAAACAGGAGGCCCTGAGGTTGGAACTGTTTGGATTTGGGGAATATTTGCGCAAATCTCTCAAGGGGGAGCGCACTGGGACGAGCCCGGGGGATATGGAGCTGGGTGATCCGCAGGGAGCCCGGGCACGAGCTTGGATCCAGCTCCCGGTGTCCAGGCAAGTCCTGGCTTTACTCGGGAGAAAGCTCCCGCTCCCAGATCAAAAGCAGCGACATGAACGCTGCCTCCAGAGCCTCGCACGGGCGGAAAAGGCCCGAAATTCCGCCCCGGCTCCTGCTGCCTGCCGACTCTTCCCGCCGCGTGCCGGGCTGCGAGGCCCAGCGCCTGCTCCCACCATCCGGATCTGTGTCCGGAGCTGTCGCCTGCAGAAGGGCTCGAGTCCAACGCTGCCCTTGTTCCTGTTTTCTTGTTGGGCGGAAGCTGTGGTAGCCGCGATCCTCATCCTGGTTTGGAGAATGTTCTGCTGGGCTCGGGCATGGGCCGAGCGCCAGTCTGTGCCAGGGGTGCCGCTTTGCTGCCCTGCTCAGCCGGACGTTGAGGCATTCCCGCCTATGGGAAGAGTCACGGATGTGTGTGGGAGCGTCGCAGCCTGGGGCATTCCAGGCATCCCGCATGTCCCAAGCCGCCTCCAAGACACTTGGAGATGCTTGAATGTGTCCCCAAGGCCAGGGCTTTGTGGCCGTCCGTGTTGGCGGTGCCGGAGCAGCTTCTCCAGCTCTTGATGGTGGGTTTTCACTAGATTTTCCTAGGATTTTTCCCCAGGGCTGCCCGTTCTCCCTGGTGCTCTCCTGGCGGGGCCTCTCTGTGGTTCTGCTCCTGCCTGGAGCGGCTCCGAGTGACCGTCCTTTCTTGCTCCGAAGCTCGTCCTTGACGTTGTCCTGGGGAGATGGGCATGGTGCCTCTCTGCGTTTGCAGGATCCGTGTCCATGAGGACATGTTCCTGGCTCCAGGCTTCTCCCGCTGGCCGCTGCCTCGGACACGGGCTCCCCTTTCCTTGCGTTTCGGTGGGTTTTGGGACTGACTTGGCCTCTTCTTTGTGTCTCTGCTGCCTTCGTGCAGCGTGTCCGGCCTGAACTTGGCAGCAGCACCCTGAAAAGCGCGGGGCCATCTGCAGCTTTCCTGTCCATCCCCTCTCCTTGCCCATCCGGAGCCCCCTTCGCAGCCCTTTGGAAGGGCCCCTTGGAAGCGGCCTGGGCACAAACCCTCCCCCTGCCTCGGCGGGGATGTCTCTCTGAGACCTGGCGGCTTCTCCGAGGTGGCTCCTGGCCACATCTCACAGCGGGATCTGGGTCTGGGAGCTCCCTCTGCTCCAGATCGGGAGCTGGGGACCTCCAGCCGCATCCCCTGCGTCTCCCCCTCAAAGCAGGGGAAAAACCTCACGGAGGCAGGAAAGGAGGATCCCTCGCAGGGGACGGGGAGGCAGGGGCAGGCTCCGCGCTGCCCCCCTTACCCAGCCTTACTCAGCCCCGTGTTTTTCCCAGACGGATGTTGTGGGTTTAGTAACAGCCCAGGCAGCAGCGGGGGCCGCTCCGCAGCCTTCCGCTTCGGAAAGGGCCGTTGCGCAGGATCCCCCGGAGCCCGCGGAGCCTCCGGCCGCACTTCCCCCTTGGCAGCTGCAGCGAAAACCTGTGGCCGGCCCCAAATACCCGGCCTTGTCGCTGCAAAGCAGCAGCCCCGGGCGGAGCCAGCCTCGGGCTCCCGGTTTCCTCCAGGAGCCGACGCTCCGGGAGCGCTTCCCGCTGCCCGGTCCTGGACGCTCCCTCTGGAGCTGCTCCTGGAGCTGCTGCCATCACCTCGTGCGTGAGGGAGAGGGGCCCGTTTTGCTGAGGACATGAATGAGCAACCGATCCCAGAGCTGTTTCCATCAGCATCTCGTGCCCCATCCTGCAGCTCCTGGAATCTTCCCTCACTCCCCGTCTCCCACCTACCCCCAGACGCCCCCGTGCTCCCTCAGGAAGGGGAAAGTCGCTGGTTTCCATCCCAAAGGATTCCTAGGAAAGCTGCCATGCACTGGGCACTCGCTCGGGCGAGCGGGACATGTCACACGGACAGGGCAGAGTCGCCCCATTTGCAGCATGTTGGATTTGGGATATTTTGATGATTTGGGGCAGGGGTTGGATATTTTTCCTCTGAGTCTGTTTGTGAGCGGTTCCCAGGGGAAGGTCTGGGGAGAGGAGCCTCTTCCGGCGCCCCCTCCTCCCCATCCATGCGGGATCCACTGGGTTCTTCCCCCCTGCTCTTCCGGCCGCCTCACGGGGTTCCCCTTGCAGAACCTCCGCGAGAGGAACCCGCCGTGCAGAAAACACGGAGCGCCCGACGTGGCGCTTCCCGTTCCCCTTCCCTGAGCTGCTTCCTCCTTTTCGAGGGTTTTTTCCTCTTTTCAGGGTCTCCCTTCCCACTCCCACCCTGCGGTGCCCCCCGCCCTGTGTCCCCGCTGCAGTCTGGGGCCGCGTTGCTCTG